TGACAACAGAATTGTAGTTGCTGTTTGTTGTGTAGTTGGCAGTGGTGGCGCAGTTTGGGTAGATACAACACAGAGTGATCATTAGATCCAAAACACAGGCGCCCAAGCTGTCTTCACCTGACGGTTACAGACTTGGAGACACGCCTTCACAATACTGCACAAAACCCATGCAGTAGAATAGAGTCAGTTCTTGCATACAAATCCCAACAGTTTGGTGCTAGGCACTTGATGCTTTCGTGTCCAGAACGCCCGCACCGATCGCACTGAGGAGGCACGTGAAATCTCGTCGGCTCACTGCCGACATGAAACCCACCAGCCGCATTGTCATTCCTCCAATCGCGAGTGCAGCCAACACCTTGCTGCTGCAGCTGTTGCATCGGCCCCGCACACATGCTGGAGCTTCCGCTGCCGCAACTCATCGGCGCGCTCGCCGTTGCCGCCGATGCTCTTTGTCCATCCCTTGTAAAATCACTCTTGTTTGGGACCGCCTGCCGCCATCCCCATTAAACCACTCCGAGCCCTCAGTTCCATAAAATGCTCTCATACCTCGTCATCGCCGAACCAACACCTGGCCTAGCTAGGCTCCACTCTCGATACATCGTGTTAGTGTGCACTGCCGCCCTCAGCGGTCTGTGGTGTTGAGACTGGGTGCCATGTTATCCCAGGAAGAGCAGATGAAAAAGGACCATGCATTTATACACCCGTCACGCAAGCCCCTCAGGCAAGCTGGTCACCAACACGCAAGCCCCTCAGGCAAGTTGGTCACCTACACGCAAGCCCCTCAGGCAAGTGCTGGGAGCACACCGCCGTGTGCTCACCCAGGGGGACCGCACTTGGACCCCAACCGCATACACACCCATCACATCCATACTTCCTATACGCGTATCCCCCACAGAGGATGCACAGATCGGACCCATATTCAAGTACCATAAACATGCTTGATTGTCTGTTCGGCTTGAGGTAGAAAGGAAGACCAACAAGCGCGTGGATGCTGTGTGACTGGGCGTTGTCTTCCTCTAGTACCGGGGGGGCTGTGCTTTTTACCCAGATGCGCCTTTTTGGACGACTTACACACCTTTTATAGATGCACATGCGCCGGAGCAGACAGACCAACAACACCTCAACACCTGCGGTTAAAGCGGTGTTCAGCTGCTCCGTCCCTTCACCGCCATCATAGTTTTCTGCACCGTGCGTACGCACGAGCGCGTTTTTTTGTTCCCCGCCGGTCGATCCTTTTTACCACCCTTACGCATGATGCGCCTCGTTTTCGTATTTCAGCCGGAGAACATCCTCCTCGACGACGCTGGCGGGTTTGCCCGCCTGTGCGATTTTGGCTTCGCCAAGCACGCGCCATCGGTAACCCCGGCAGACCTCGCGGGCGACCCCACGACCTGCTACCAAGCCCCCGAGCGCTGGCAGGCCTGCCGCAGCCCCGCGGCCGCCCGCGCGCGAGAGAAAATGGCAGCAGAAACGGTGGTGGCCGGCGAAAAAGGCGAAGATGATGCCGGCGAAGACCAAGACGAAGGCGGCGGCCGCGGCGGCGGTGGCGGGAGGGACGACTGCGCAAGCGGCGTGCCTCAGAGAGACGAGACCACGGAGACCCTGTTCGCCAGCGACGTCTTCAGCGCGGGCGTTACGTTGTTCGTCCTCGTCTCGTACCACGCCATTCTCGCCCGCCTGGCGACGGAGGCCCCGTGCAGGGACGTCGCAGAGGCGGACGCATCGAGCCTTCCGGCTCTGAACGTCTTCCAGCACGCCGTGGGCGGCGACATGTTCGGCCTGCTGCAGGGGGGCACCCGGAACGGCGGCGTGCAGGGGCGGTTGTGGGCGTACTGGTGAGATACATATACATATATCGCATGTTGTTTTGTCATGCTGCCTTGAACCGGTACGCCGACGCTTTGCAAGTGGAGACGACGAGAGTTGTCGTAGCACCAGTTTGGGGATACCACACGTGTCGTTGGGGCTAACGTACTCTACAAGGAAAATCTTCTCCACGTATTTGATGAGTACCCGCGGTTGAATCCTGTTCACATCTATCTCTCTTTCTCCCTCTACGCGTATGTACGTCTGTTCTCGTCCTCTTTCGTGTTTTAGGGAGGTGTATGGGCTATCGCTACCGCAGGCGCTGCGGGATCTACTAGACGGAGTCTTGCACCCTGTTCCCGACCGAAGGTTTTCTATGCAACAGGCATTCGATTGGATGGATTCACACCCTGAAATGTTTTAGCCCTGGCCAAATTGTGGATAATATTTTTGGTCAGGTGTTCGATCGAATGGAATCGCACCCGGGTAAGAAATTACACCGGCCATGTTGTGGACATTCTAGCAGAAGAGCAAACAAGAAAAACAACCTCCGTAGTTGTGATTCCTGTGACACGTTTACATCTCGCCGCGTGTTGTGAGGGGGGGGGGAGACGGGAGGGCGTACTCTTATGTTTTGCATGCCCTAGCGGTTAGACCATTGACCACGCGTCCTCGAGAGGACGGAGCATTGTTCCCACAGGACCGATCACTGATGGACAATCGTTCCTTTCTACTTTGCCAAAGGAGACGGGAGGGGGGGAGATTATGGAAAGTGTACACAAAATGGGTTTGTTGATAATTTCAGTCGCACAGCTAGTGTACTCCACACAGAAGAGACATGGTGCAAAGAGAAGTAGTGTCATTCTTCTTTCGTCGTATTACAAAGGTGTGTGGGTTATTGGTCCCGAGACGATACTCGCTTTTCTTTTTGTTTCCCTTCTTTGTGATTGAAAGAAAGGCAGGCGGGTCTCGAAATGTGTTGAGGTAGACATTGCTGTGTGCGGTGGGGGAGGTGTGTCTGGATTTAAGTGTCTCCGTTTCTTCAAGTTTATCGTGTAGCGAGAGTGCACCTTGAATGCCAGGAATGAATTGACCCGATGCGTAGTCTACAACGTGTTATACATGTTGTCTTTACATTCTAAGTCTGTCTGCAGGTAGTTCATCTACTGTTCATCTTATGAGTAGTGCGCGTGCTCGTCGTCACCGGGGGCAGGCTGCAAGGAATCGTCGAGGAAAAACAGGCAATGAGTCGTGTGGGTTTTGAGCTCTTGTGTGTTTTGTATAACATGGTGGATCGGTCTCCTTGGTTGGTGGCGTTTTTTTTGTAGATCTCAGGTGCGCACGAAAAAAATGTGTATGATGTTGTGTTCGTCGCGTCGTCCTGTGTAAAGCTCTCGGCGAGTATGAAGACCAGGTAGCGGTGGGTGTAAATAGTTTAGAAGGTAGATTGCATGTTATGGTTCCCCGCGCATTGTCATAATAAGAAAAAATCCCCTCCTTTTACCGTTTATTGTGCGTGGTGGTACCGTAAATATATTTCAAAAGGCTCTTTATAGACTATTTCTATTGCGGAGGCCCTTTACCCCATGGTCACTTACTCCTTCTCCCTCATTGGGTGCTATTGTTTTCGCGTGATGTCCCGAGTGAGAGCCTTTGAGTGCAGCTCTGAGTTAGAGAAAAACGACATGCTGGATGGATAGTTGTCGGCCCTGTTGGTTGGCTTTACCTGCCGGTAAGTCACACGAGGAGTGGGACGAATGGATATCTTCGTTTTTCCCGAGTCTTGTTGTGTCAAGATGACATACATACATACATACATACATACATACATACACGTATTTCGCGTGATGGCGCAAGACGCACCAGAGAAGAAACAACCTAACGAGATTGCTTGAGTAAGTGGGGCTGATGCTAGCATTGCGGAGCAGGGAGTAATATCGTGCCGTACGTCAGAGAGGGTGGCTGCCTCGAGTATGCGCGTGATTTGCTTGCTTGTTGATGAATTGACGGCAGACCGGTCTTGGGTACTATTAGTACTATTACTACTACTACTACTTCTGTTCTGATTGTTGGTAACATTACTGTTGTATGGGGGTGAGAAAAAGAGCCATCCCCATCCAGAGGAACGGATTGGATATTTATCCGGTGTGTGAGAAGCTGTTTTTGGGAACTAACAGGAGCTCGATTGCAACCAAAAATCGTCGACCGGATAGTAGGTGGTGATGATGATGTGGGTGCGGTGTGTACGGCGTACGCGAGGCATTGTTGTGCTTCTCTACAGGATGTATGCAAGCAGCACGCTGTAGAGGTAGTAGGTAGTTAACGTCCTTGTGTAATGTTACCGACGGGTCTATAGGCTTGGTTTGCTTGTGTAGCATGTGTGTGTGGAGCATCATCGGGTAAATACTGTAGCACCCTTTTTGCTTAGATATTCTTGTTCGTTTTTTGTCGAGAGAGAGAGATGGTTTTGGCGCATAATCAAGCAGTAAAATCGTAAAATCACTCCGAGAACGAACGGCGACTGACTGACTGGGCACATTGGATCGCCCGGGTTCATTTTTTTGGGAAACAAACACCGAGTTTGAATTTGGTCCAGTCACATGAGACACTGGGCGGGGAACTTCTCTTCGTACCCAGCAGTGCCCTAGAAACAAGTCCAAGAGGAAAATAACTGCTCTTTTACCTAAGTGGAAGAAAGCTTGTGAGCCGAGGCCTAGGCAAGGCTTTTGATTGGAGCCTCTCGCCGTTCGGTGGATGCACCTAATATTTATAGTCTAGGCTATAGACAAAGATACTGGACCAACTCTTCGTGCACATCTCACAAATCGGTTGAAAAGAATATTCATGTGACATGTGCAGTAAATGGATCGCGCGGATACAAATTTCGGTATGAAGCGCCGGAGATAACTCTTGTTTTGCTCCTTGTCCTTTGACTCGTGGACGTGGGCGTGCGGAGTGGCTCATGTGTGCGTGCATAGGTTGACGAATACTAGTCTGCACCTTAACAAGCTCTACGTACCGAGGCAACCGAATCATTACGGTTACAAGATCTTTTCATGTTTGGTCGTAACCAAAACTTGTAGAATCAACCTACAGCAGAGTAGCGCGCGCATTGGAGGTGCACCTCATGGGTAGGCGCTCTGATCGCATGATATCGACCGCGTGCGCCTCTCTCAGTGCGTCTAGTGTTCAACACATGCCCTCAACAATTTCTCGAATTCATATGCATACAAAAGTTGTTTGCCTTGTTGTGGACAGGCGGCGGCGTAGGCAAGGGGGCAACGCGAGTGCGACATTTTATTTTTCTGCAAGTACGGACCGTGAGGTTTGTCCGCTTGACTTGCAGCTTTTTGCTCTCCACCACCTTCGCTTCACCCCACAACCTCATACCGCCCGAGCAAAACTTAACACAGCTTCCCAGCTGTGGGGGGCTAGGAGAGATCAGTACGGCGACAAGCCAACCTGCGCGCGTGTGGTATGCCGCTAGTCTGATGCGTGCTGCTGCTACCGCCGCCTCTAGCGAATCGCCTCTCTGCTGCTCTTTCTCAATAGAAATCCGCGCCAGCGAGAAACTGGTGTGCCCGGGATAGTACACGCTTTGATACCATACCACCACGCCCTGCAGGGCTACAGCAGCAGCGAGGAGACGATGGCCAGCTCAGACGGAGAGGCGGTTACTGCTCCAGCAGGGGGGGGAAGTGGTGGACCGAGGCTGGTTTGCAGGAGAAGCCCCGGGGGTAGCCCCAAGCGATGCGAGTACAGCAGCCCTAAACGGTGGTGTAGGGAACGCCAGCTAGAATCGGTGGCTTTTATTGGGCAGGGCAGCGACGCGAACGTGTACCTCGTGCGCTGCAAGCTGACGGGGAGGATGTCTGCCTTGAAGGTGAGTGAGGCAAGAGCACGACACCGCCCGCACGAAGAACAGCAGCAGCAGCGGCAGCAGCAGCAGCAGCAAGCACACGCACACAGAAAATGTACCGGAGAAAGAAATTGGGAGTACATGTTCGATAAAGCAGAGAGGGTGTTTTTTTTTGGTGGTTTCCAGACGAGTTTCTCTTTGTTTTTGTGCAGGAGGAGCGGGTTCATACACCGCTTCTTATTGGAAGTTGGGCGTGGTCCCCATTCGATTCGTTTTCGTTCCACCCCCCGAGCAACGTCCCGGCCGAGCTCCCCCCCCTGCTGCTACCTGAAATGAAGAACACAACCGCCGTTGGGGGGGGGGGGGGGCTATGGCCATCGTCTCCATATGTTCCTTGAAGTATCGCCGGCGCCCTCCCCCTTTGTTCACTCTTCCAAACGGTTTACCATGGCAAAAGTCGCGGCACTTTTGCAAATCCGAAACCTCTCCTCCAGCGGTGGGGGTGATGCTACTGAAAACAGCCACGAAAACAGAGGGTGTAGAGAAAAATGACAACCAGCGGTGCGCCGACGTTTCACGTATCCGGTGGCACGTTGCAGCCCTGCTGCTGACCTATGGAATAATATTGTGGGTAAATAGCTGTCAACTGGTAGGGAAAGGTCTCTTACCGCTGTTCATACCGCTCGGGGAGTACGTAATATTTTCCTCCAATAAAGAAGAACTTGGAAGCGCTGCCTCGTACACAGGGTCGATGTTTGCCTCTGTTCGTCTACTGATCTTTTGTGGAGCCACTCTGCAACAACATACTTTGATGATGGTGTTTTCTTGCGTGTGATATCTACTCTGTCAGCCGGGGCCACACAGGAGAAGCTGTTGTTTTTCAATAGTTTTTGACTCGGTACAACACCATGCCTTTCGTCAGGCGCCCTCCTGTTCCCTGTACTACTCACAGTTTTTATCTCGAAGGGGTTCGGCCATCCCTTTCTCTTCGACCGTGAAGTCGAACCACGCATCAAGTACTCACGATTCGATCTACAGCGCTGCTATATGCAAAGGTCACAGCACGTAGTTTTTCATCACTCCACTGCTGTGAGAATCGAACTGACAGCTGCACGTCATGTTACAAAGTTCACCAGGACCCCCCGCTAACCTCAGCTCAACAGAACAGCCGTCATTTGTCTCTGGTTTGTGTCACGTGTCTGGCGTGACGTAGGAATGGCCTCCTCGGTGCGTTGCAGCTTTCGTCAAATTTCATTTTTGGACAGGATGATTTGCTGCATCATGTTCCAAGAAACAGTTCTCTCCATATCCACCGCCGTTCCGGTGTGTGTGTTTTTTTTTTTGCTAGATCACCCCCAAGCCTGCTAGCCCGGTCGACGATAGGCACATGCGTTTGAAAAGTAGGTGGAGTCGGCGTTTTCATTATTATCTTCTCTTTGAACCTTGTATGAATGGGTCGCTGCTTTGCGTATGTCCAACTCACCGAAACAATCGAAAATATAGCGACACCGTAGAGAGAACAAGAAGCGGCCGAGCAAGTGCTACTATTAGAAGCAGTTCTCAAGTACTATGCGTACCCTCCCAGCTTATTTCCAGCGTTCGAACCGTGGAAGTATATGCACCCACGGGTACGCACATAAGCCACGCACCCATAACTTGCCAGTCCCGCCTATACAGACTTGCACGAACACCGTTTATCACCCAAGAGCGACCCAGCCCTACTCCAAGGCCCACCAACCTAGCATCTTGCCAAGTCAGGACCAACCTAGCATCCATCCAGGCAAACAAACCTAGATTTATCCCATCAACGCCAATCTAGCACCTCTCCAAGCAGGAACAACCTAGAGTTTTCCATGTCAACACCAAGTTAGCCCTAATGCAGCCACAACAACCTAGAACTGAGCCACCCAGCGCCAACCTAACCGGGTGGGTTTGAGGTTGGGGTTAGGGTTGACGTTTGGGTTATTAGCCAGTTTGGTGCCGCTGCCCAAGCAGAGCATCTAGAGTTTAGGAGTACAAAATTGCTTTTTGATGAAAATCAACCGGTCGCTGGTTCAAGCGACATTGTGGAGCGTGTGGAAGAGGGCGCACTGGTTCAAGCATCGGACTTCTTTTCGCTTTTTTTCGCCTGCAGGTGGTGTTTTCGGTCTGTCGAGAGCATGGGTGCATGGCGTGTGTGTTAACCCATGGGCGCATATATATTTTGGCTCGAACCTCACGTTATAGGCACCCTTGAAGGTTGGGCACCGCCTGCGTTCCTCACTCTCTGAAGTCGCCTTGACGAAATCGAACGGCTGCCCAAGACAAAAGTCGCACTCGGTGCAGCAACAGCAATGCACCGATCTTGTTACTCAAGGAATCGCCCTGTTTTTGAAAGAACCGAATCTGAATCTACCCCTCGACCGACGCGCGCACTAATTAGGTCCAGTTGAAGGCGGAGCACGAGAAGAACGTGGAGCGAGTGCACATGGAGCGGCAAGTAATGGTGGATGCCCGCCACCCCCTCGTGGCCCCGCTGTACGCGGCGTTCCAGGACAGGATGTACCTCTACCTCGAAATGGAGTACTGTCCGGGAGGGTCGCTGGACAACTTCCTGAGGTACGTATTGTACCGTGCATGCGCGGCAGCAGCAGCAGGCGTGTCCACAAGTCGCACGGGATGCAGTGGTCGGACTCAGTTGTTGAGGGGAGTCGTCCTGGGCAGACGTTCGGACAATTATGGTACCCTTTGCGACGGGATTTCAACATACGATGCTGTTGTCTTGGTTCTCTTTGGTGCGTGGTGCCGCACTTCGTTGTTTTGCCACGCAGGTATTTCGTCAAGAGGAACCTCACGGAGGACGAAGCTCGTTTCTACGCAGCGGAGATATCGCTTGGGTTGGAGTTTCTGCACTCGAAAGGTGACGTCGGGGCGGGTGATACCTGGATGGCTAACGAATTGCCCCGGCTGCTGCTCGCGGGCGCAGCGTGTCGCGCTGTCGGCAGCTGCAGCAGCTCCCTCTCGCGCCTGAGGTTTGCGTTATTGCCCGCATCTACGTAGTACAGCAGCGGTATGTTCGTGTCTGTCGTGGTGCGACACAAATTGCAGGTTGTTGAGCCTCCCTGTCCCGCCCCCACCCCTACATGCTTGCCCTCGTTGCTTTGTCCATTGAACAGGCTACGTGTATCGAGATTTGAAGGCGGCGAATGTCCTGGTGGCCGCGTCCGGGCACGTCAAACTCACCGACTTCGGTGAGAACCGTTTTTTTTCCTTCTCACGAGCGTCAAGTACTTTCGTCCTGTCATCGCATGTATCCATGTCGGGTCCATTATTTTTCTCAGCAGCGGCAGCGAGGGATGTTCCGGTCGGTTAAAGCGTTCCTCTTCTTGTTGTTCGCAAAGCCCCGTCATTCCTGCTAATGTTTTGAAGGCCAGGCCCAGTATCGTGATCACACACGATTATGGGCAAACGGCGTTGATGTCATGACCTCGTATCCCCTCCCCCCGCGGGCCCCCATCATGGGTTTATTCTCTGCGATCAAAGGCATCTCGGAGCGAGGGAAGTTAAGGATTGAGACGAACGACAGGGTGCGGAAGAAGGATATCTCTCCGCCGCGACCCTTACCTCGGGTGAAGTCGCTCCCGGGCTTCATAGTGGTGAGACATCGATGTCGTGCGTGCCATTCAAGACTGCTACACGAAACTGACGTGCAGAAAACAAAGATAGCTCTTTCGCAGTGAGCCCCTTGCGGGTTTTCTGTTTTTATACGCTGTTTCTCGTTCCTCCTCAAGGTTGGACCGAGTGACGCACCGATTACCGGCCGGGTCCGTTCACGAGAGTATTGAAATTTCGGGGTTAACATGGCGTGTTATTTTCTAGTTGTGTGTAGGGGCGCGGCCCGTTGTTTCAGGGTTTAGGAGAGCAATCGGCGCTGAAGCTCCACAGGTTGTTTTAAGCTTTCACTCCTGGCATACCTGACGACCATGTTTCTTGTGAGCAGGCCGCCGCACTCTCTGGCGCCGCTCTGGATCCCGGTGGTCACTTTAGTCTTTCCCGACCTTTACTCTCCCCCCGCTTTTTTTCTTTTTTTCGGCAGGCTGTGAAAGACTCGCCAGAATTGTCTCCTTCTACCTCTTCTTCTGGCTCGCGGCCGGTGTCGAATAAACCCGCCGGCGGCTCTGCATCGGGAGTCGGCGTCGTCGGAGGTCCGTCTTCGGACGGCCGAGGAGGAGGCGTTGCCGAAGCGCGGACCGGGGGGCATCGCCGAGCTTCCTCCGCCCGTGTTGCCATCACCACCAATGGCAGCAGCTCCACCACGCCCAGCACCCCCTCCTCCTCCTCCTCCTCCTCGCCAGACTCGTTGTCGGGTGACCCGCATTCCTCTCTCGAGTCTGCGGTCACCGCCGGCGCTGGCGGCGGCGGCGGGTCGCGTTACTCGTCGTTTTTTCGCCGGAAAAAGCGGCGGCAGCAGCAAGATGGGCCTGGGGCGACTCCGCCGCGGCCCCCGAGCTTGAGCCTGGGCAGGCGGATGCGGGGCAGGTTTTTGCGGAGCTCTCGTAGCTCGGTGTCTTCTTCGTGCTCTTCCTCGGATTCTTCTTCTCCGTCCGTGTCCCCGCACACCGCTGCGGCTCCGGGCGGCGGTGGGGGCGTGCCGCCCCCGTCTCCCAGGTGCAGGGGCAACGAAGACTTGGGGTGAGATTGGTGGGCGGGCGGGGTGGGTGGGTGAGCGCCATGTTGTTGTTAGCTGGTGCCAATGCTCGTGGTCAACGTGTTGATCGATACACTCATCGTGGCGCTGAAGGAGTGAGGTATTTTGGCAGTTTGGCTTACAGTAGCAGCGGCAAAGCAGCAGCCTTGTGTCCCAAGGGCCCTGCCGCAGCAACCAGCCCTTTGAGACTAATCCAAGTCTTCAAATTGTTTCGCCGCCGTACTACCCTCTTGCGTCGACAGGTCCAGAAGCCCGCCTTCACCGACATCCCGCGGACGTGCGGGGATGCGAAGAGCCACTGTCACCCTTGGCGAAGCTTCTTGGGGGCTGCTCTCGGGGTCGCCGGAGTATATGGTGAGCTTTCGACCACAGCCTGCTCCGTGTCCCCTGGCGTGTAGTTCCTGCTTGAAGCCCGTCGGAGCTTTTTGGCAAGTAATTGGGTCACACACCCAAACCCAATAAGTATTGGTCCCCCGTGTGGAATGCCGCCCGCGTCGTTAGTAGACATGCTTGTGCCCTGGTCACCCAGCAGGGAAGATGCATGCAAGATAGTTTCTGACGAAAACGACCAACCACTCAAAAGAGCTGTCACGAGGTGTACGGCAACCCAACCGAGTAAAGCCAATCCGTATGCACCCCGCCCCCCCCCCACATGCAACGTGTGTTGTGTACGATGGTTGTCACGTGGCCCGGCAACGATCACTGAACCCTATTTCCTTTTTCTGACATGTCTCGGTTGTGATTCTACCATTCCATCAGGCGCCGGAGGTCCTGATGCACGAACCCCAGGGGAGCGCCGTGGACTGGTGGGGTCTGGGTGTCCTGGTCTACGAGCTGCTGCTGGGCCGCACCCCGTTCGCCGGAGAGAACGGCAAAACCCGCCTCACGTTCCTCAACATCATGCACGGGGAGGCCCGTTTCCCGGAGCCGGGGGAGCGCGACGAGGGGGACATCAGCGGCGTCTGCCAGGAGTTTGTGCGGGCGCTGCTGGTCAAGGACCCCCGGGGACGCGCTGGCGGCGCGTCCCCGGTGCGGGATCACGCCTTCTTCTCCGGTGTGCGGTGGGACCGCCTTCTCGAAGAGGAACCCCCGCTGCGGCCTCCTCCCGGGTGCTGCACGGGGGCCGGGGGGGGGGCGGAGGAGACGGCGGCGGCGTTTGTTGGGGTCCCCGCGGGGGAGAACGATTCTGGTTGGTGGTGGGACGATGCGATCGCCGTCGAGGACGAGGAGCCGGCGGGGTGGAGAGGGGCAAGGGTGGCAGGACCGGGAGGCACGGAGAGAGATTGGTCGCCGTTTGATCGATTCAATTGGAGTGATAGTGACAGAGGTGCTCGAGTGGGGCAGTGATTACGCGGCGGCGGTCTCTGGACAACTGTTACTACTTGATGACATAGGGCTGCTATTGATCGACAGCGGGGAGGGGGGCGTTTTTTTTTTACGTACAGCGAATGTTTTTGCTTGGCCGGCGCGCCCCATATTGCAAGGTGTAAGTGGTTGCGTGTCATTTTTTGTGGGCGTGCAAGAAGTATTTTTGTGTGTTTGACGTAAATGGTGTTAGTTTTTTCGTCTGCCCCCCAGGGGTGGAGTTATCGCTTGCGGGGCTGGGGCGCTCGCTGCGGGTTGCTGTGCTGCCCGTGCCGATTGCTGTGTGCCCGTCCCGAAAATAGTTGTTTGTGTGTCATTTTTTCTCGTTCATGTTTTTAGTCGGTGTGGCAGAGCGCGCGGTGAAGGTGGTCCTTAGAACCACCAGCGTCGACACGCGCGCCAATGTTGAAGAAGAGGGAGAGAAAACCGCGTTTGTTTTGCGGTAGAGTAGTCTGGATGGCCAATTTAAGCAGTTGCCGTACGAGAGTATCAGTTGAAACCTTCTGCGGAGCGTGTTCTTGTGCGAAGAAAGACGGCAAAGAGGGAGCAGAAGCCTGTTGCGGATAGATACCCTTAAGGAAAAAATGTAAAACTTGTTAGCCTTTGCCCCCCCCCACCGATCCCGCCGGCCCGCGGCTGCTCCGCGGAACTGCGAATTGAAGTCCTTGTGTGAAAGAACCCGTAGTCTACTACCTGTTGTTTGAGATTTCGTACATTACGTTTGATTCATTCGTGCGGCGCTGTGTGCACTGATGCATGATTCAAGGTTTGGGTAGGAACGCAGATGTGCCAAGAGAACACAAAGACGGTATCGTCGAGGGATTCCTTGTTTTAACATAGTCCAGCGTGAGGCAGCGTTGATGCCATCTGGTGGTTGAGTTAGAGCTAGTCTGGTTTAAAGTCCTTGTCTTGTCCGGCATTGCATCTGCAAGCGGTCCAGTTGTTCGCACCTAGACTACTCGTCCTTCGCTGACCTGCACCCCCAAATGGTGCACCACGTGTAAAGGCCGAGAGTTTCGGAGACTTTCTTTTAGGGGAGAGGAGGTTACGTTAAGGGGGGGGGGGGGGGGGGATCCTTGAAACCTGAGCACACCGCAAGCAGCGTCAGTCTCTCGTGACTCGTATGCCCTGTGCAGGTTACGTATGGTGCGTGTCTGGGTTATTTGTTGCGCTAGGCAGTTGTGACGCTTGATGTGATAGGGCGTGTCGGGTTGCTACGCGTGCTTCTCCGCCCTGTACATGAGGTCTAGCGTTTTTCGTCCATATGTTGTTAGGGAAAAAAGTAAAAAAGTAATTTGCGGGTAGATGATACGTTACTGTTATTGCGCACCGATTCTCGAGGGTGGCTCTCGGAACAAAAAATGGTGGTTTGCGGTCCACCTGCCCTGACGTAGTTCGATAACATGAAGCGTTTCCGTTCACTAATGCTGCTGCTGTTGCACGCAAGTATCAAGCCAACCACGACATCCGGTCACGCAGCACAAGATCTTCCGTTGCCAAGAAGTAATAGTTCTGCCTTCAGAGACAACCAAGCTCCCGCAGCTCTGCTCCCCAACGTTAAACCGGTCAAACTGACCGGGGAGTGTTTGCGCCATTTCGGCAAAATCGCGAAGCAGACGGTTCGCGTCGCACTACTCGTGGCACCGGAAGGGGTGGTGGCGCCCTTTGTACGAGCGCAACGTTTGCAAACCACACGATAGGTTTCGCTTCTCGCTGTGAGGTTACCACTCTTAGGCGAATGTAGGCCAACAAGTGGTGACTCGTCTTTGATTTTTGGTTGGAAGTTATCAGCTGCTCAAAGTCGACACTGCTGTCAGTTGTGTCTCACACCTACATCCTGGTTCGTGAACACAAGCGTGGTGCTCGTTTTCGGGTCTCTTGACTCTGACTGTCTTATCCGATTTTCCTTGAAGGGCTGGCCTTTCGCTGGCCCTTGAAGACCAAAGTATGCAATGCTTGTTCTGTATCTGCCTGCACGATCTTCACGGATGGATCCCCGGCTTTGCGCGCGAAGCCCGACGCCAACCCCTTTCGAATGTGCGTCGCAGCACGGCGGATGATGCTATCTTCCACACACGTGAGATGGCACCATAAATACCAACAACTATTTGGAGTCAGTCAGCGCCGTCATCGCCTCGTCAGCTCTAACTGTCGCAAGCTATCGGCTTGTAGGCGCGCCAGCAGCTGCGGCTCGCAGTCTGCCGGGAAGATCTCTCTTTCCAAGTCGTCGTCACCGCTACCATCTGCTGCAGCGTCAACGTCTACGACTTCTATCCTCAAGCCGAACACGCCCTCGAACTCCTGCATCACGAGCGACCGAACGGAGCCCATGTCGACCGCATGGTTATCCGCGGCGTTCGAAGCAGTGACATCTGTTCCATCGACGCGTGCCGCGTTCTCGATTTGTTCCGCCGAGGGCGGAAACCAGGTCTCGGTACCAACGAGGTCGCACAGCCTCGTGACAGGCCGACCCTGGATGCCGCAAGGCACGATAGCCTCGAAGGCGCTCAGGTCCGGGTTGACGTTGAGCGCGAAGCCGTGCGAGGTGACCCAGCGGCTGGCGTTCAGCCCGATGGCCGCGACCTTGGCGCCGCCCACCCACACGCCCGTGTGTTCCGTTTCTCGCTCGCCCTCGAGGCCATATCTCCCGAGCACTCGGATGACAACCTTTGTGTATTGAGCGACCGTTAAAGGTCCAGAAACGATGAGGGCCGAAAGTGGTGTGCGCGGACATTGAGGAAGCGTGCGAATGCAACAGATATGCAACAGGCAGGGTAGGGGGCGGAATTGGGAGGCACTCTTGGTGTGCGTGTCACAACGCAGGTGTACTTGTGTCGATACGGGCGTGGCTGCTGCATGTCTTTACGGTCAACCTCGACACAAGCCTTATCCTGCCGCTACGAGGGCCAACAGCAGTAGCGGGGTGCACAAGAATAGATATGCTACAGAAAATACTACGTGACGCCGGGGTTCGTATCAGAACAAGTCGCAACACAGTAGGAGCATGGAAAGGTGACAGCCCATACCATGGTGCACGAAAGAGCCAGCATGTTCCCAGCAGCTCTCGCGCGGGAGTCATCACCTCTTCCAGTTGCCTCATGTACCAGTGCAAGTCCTTGTTGTGAAAGTTGAGGTCCAGCACAGGATACCCCACCACCTGCCCTGGACCGTGCCAGGTCACCTCGCCTCCCCTCTCCGTCCGGCGGACTTCTCTCCCGTCCAGAGACGAAGGGTCCGTCGGGTCGAAGCGCAGGTGGTCCAGGGACGAGCCCCGCCCGAGCGTGTAGACGGGAGGGTGTTCGAGCATGAGAAGGACGTCGTGCGAGTCCTGGCTTGGAGATTCCTCTCGCTGCCAGGCCATGCGCTCGTGCAGCAGGCGCTGCTGCCACAGCCATGCCCGGTCGTAAGGGACGGTACCACCTGTGATGTTGTACACGAGGCACCTGCGAGGTGGTGGTGGTGGTGATAGTGGTGGTGGTGGTGGTGGTGGTGGTGTTGATGTCCCTACAAGGCACCTCCGGCTGCTAACTCGAGTGTCAACCGGGTGCCGCCGCCTCTGTTGGTGAGATATTGACGAGATTGATGGTGCTCGTGCCGGCGGTGGCAGTGCCTGAGGTGACAGCCGGTTTCTCTGCCGCTGCAAGCTGTGACACGCTCTATGCCACATGAGAAAAACACACAAGCAGCAGTAACTGAGAACCCGGACCCGCTGCACGCTGCTGTGCACTCAACACACGTGCTGCATGCGGGCGAACTGTGTGAGAAGCCAACCTCGGAGGCCGCGGGCGCCTACCACGTATCTCGGTTCCCCATCGATACACGGGGCCCCATCATAGGACAGAGCCCGAGCGCAGGCAGGACCCGAGCACAGAGAGAGAGAGAGGGAGAGAGAGAGAGAGAGAGAGAGAGAGAGAGAGAGAGAGAGAGAGAGTTGTGTCCGCTGTGTTGGCACACACTCGCGACGCAATGGCGACCCTGGCAAAGCCGCAGCGCACAATCCAGCCGCTCCTTCAGGGCGCCCGAGGCTACCGGAAGCACCTCGGGCAGTACGGAGGAGGCGGCAGGAGCTCCGTGAATGACAAGACCGTCGCGGTGTTCGGCGCGACGGGCTTCCTGGGACGTTATGTGACGAACCAGCTAGGTGAGCAGCAGGGCGCAGACAGTCGCAGAAGTCGTAGACATGATCTAGGGATGAAGTCGGCACCTCGTTTGCTTTGCCTTGCGTTGGTTCACGATTCTTGGATGGGACAAGCGTAGTTTGAGCACTTTTGCCGGAGGGCAAGAGAGGGGTGCTCGAGTATTGAGCTCTCAGATGCAACCAACCGCTTGCTCCTCCGGTGCATCACCTGTTCATCTCATGTGCGGGTGAGGCGAGCAGACGGTGCCGGACTCCGTGCGTGTGCATTCGTGCTTGCCGGCCATGCGTCATTGTCGTTGTTGGTTTCTGGCTTACGGGTAAGGTTTGGTACATGCTATGCTCTGCCATAGGCGCATCATCATTCGTACAACGACGTCATCTGCTTGATTCCGGAGGGAGATTGTACGCAAGGTGCAGTAGAAGTGCATGCTTTAGCAGGCAGGCCAAGTGGGCTCGAGATACGCGGAACACAGGCTGCTGTATACATCGTAAACCCGGTCTGGAGGGTGGAGGGTGTAGGAGAAAATATAGGAGACGACAATACGTTGAGGCGTTGCCCATTGGACGCTTTTGGCCCCATCCCTACCCATCCCTCCGGTTTACCATACCAGGAGTTGTGTTCTCCTCATTCGTTTGTTCAAATCACATGGTACGCGGCGGTATACACGATGCGGGATGTCACGGGGATCTGGGCAAGTAGCCCGCCACAGCTGTACCATCGGCATGCCGCCAATTTCTTGATTGATACGGTATGTGACAAATCCAGACTAGTGCACATGTTCAAGACTAATCATGGCAGTTCCAAACAGCAGAACCCACCGAAGCTCAAGCCTTGGAACTGAGAACGAACGACGCGGAAATGTGGACTAGAAAAAAAGAGGGCTATTTTCGACGGCGGGGGTAGACAGCACTCCTCTATATAGTTGCCGCCATTTTGCAACAAGAGTACAGGTGCGAGACCATTCGTCGCTCGTTTGCAGACCTGGAGTAGACGACCGATGTTCGTTAGCATCAACGTTGGACAAGCGTTGCGTTAATTGGCACCAGAGTGCAGCGCAGCACTGGTGCCGCTGCAAGAGGGCGTTCTCCGACGAACGTCTCTCTTAGGCCTCCGCTCCCCCCTCCCGCCTGATGCACTCCTCCCATCGCGCTCGCGTCGTCAGGGAGGACGGGTACACGTTGCTTCATCCCCAACCGCGGTTGCGAGATGGACGTGCGCCGGACTAAGGTGCAGTTCGACCTAGGTCAGGTGGTCTTCCCCTTCTACAGGTGCGTTTCTGAATACCCACCATTTCTGCGTTCATTCTGCGACGACCGTGCTCTCCGCGTGGACTCTAAACTCACAAATCCCATATCCGGAATTTTTCATGTTCAGAGCTCGATTTTGGAGTGCCATGCACTTGGGAGCCCCCCAATGCAGAGTCGGAGTTGTAGTGGCAGACCTCTTCGAAACCAAGGCACTAATAGTGTATTGCCGAACAGAGAAGATACAAGTGTCAACTCCGCGGGGCCCCCTCCGACAGGAGGACCGAGGAGGAAACTGGGCCGAATGGTCCAACCTCCGGATGGAGAGTATACTTAATATGGGAACAACAGCGAACAGCATCAATAGCTGTCCGCCCACTCCCGGAGGGTGCTGAACCGTATAGGGTTTTTACTCTGCGCCAGTAGTTGATTGCTTTCCACCCGACGTGTAACATTCGCGGCGTTTTCGGGTGTTTTATCCATCCGCTCAGCTCTTCCGATGAGCAGAGCATGCGCGACGCCATCGGGAACGCTGACACGGTAGTAAACCTCATCGGCAAGCACTACGAGACCAAGCACCTGTGCTTCACACGCAAGGAGGACGGCGCGATCAACAGGGTTAACAGCAGCTTCAAGAACGTGAGTAAAATACTTCAACACATCCCCTTCGACCGTGCTATGATGTCAAACGGGTGGTCTGTGATTGTACGCAAATTTTGGTTTAATGTATGTTGCTGGTGCTGTACCTTAAGTGCAACACTTTCGGTCGGACTAGCGATGTTGTGCAATTGGCAATATGCTTATTCACTGTAAGCATAGGTACGTCAGTGGAAAAGCCTTTGTAGAAGTTCGTTGTAGTGTCGCCAATGCGGCCCAGATCACAGCTCGTCAATAAGGAATGGCAGTACAGGAGCGGCGTCCGTCTGTCAAATGTTTTAGTTTGGGTCAGATGTTTGCATGTGTACGCGTTGCATCTGCCTCGGAAGTGCGCTTGTTCTGCATGGGCCGGCACGATATCTTAGTTTTCGTCACCCCCCGAGCGGCTCACCTACCTCCCCCCGCCCATGGGCTCGCATCGATGAAAATCCGGTTTGCGTGCTCCCCCTCAAAA